CCTCTGTCACCCTTCACCCACTTTTCTGTTGTTTGTCCCCCTGGGAGGGGGTTATATGTTGACCCTTGTGATCGATTCACCCTTCCCCTTATCTTCTGGATATCTCTTTTCTCATGGTTGGTCCTGAGGGGTTTATCTATCCTGGATTCCCTGTGTTGCGGGCTCTTATCTGTAGCAGTGTGCATGCTCTGGCCTAGTCTGACTTGTAAGGTAGACTTGAGGTTATGATAGTGGGGGGAAGGAAGCATTAAAGAACTCGAACAGTGGTTCTCAACCTTCCTAATGCCGCAACCCTTTAATACAGTTCCTCATGTTGTGGTGACCCTCACCCCTAAATTATTTTTTTTGCTACTTCATCACTGTCATTTTACTACTGTGATGAATCGTCATGTAAATATCTGATGTTTGCACATGGTGCGATGATGTCATCACGCCGGTTACTCGAAGGTGGGCGTATCTGCATGTGGGCGGACCTGCCTGGAGACAGAGGAGCCGTGTCTGGGTTCCTAAGACCATTGGAAATATGTGTTTTCCCACGGTCTCAGGCGACCCCTGTGAAAGGGGCATTCGAACCGCTGAACTAGGGCAAAGTTGTCTGTTTCCTCGGTGCTACACTGCACCCTGACTGGCTCATCTCTTCCTTGTGACCCTTCTGTAAGAGGATGCCGAGACTCTTTTTTTTTCTTCTAAATAATCATTTTACTAGGGGCTCATACAACTCATCACAATCCGTACATACGTCATTTGTGTGCAGCACATGAGTACATATGTTGACTTCATCATTCTTACAACACCTGCTTTCCACTTGAGCCCTTGGTGTCAGCTCCTCATTTTTCCCCCTCCCTCCCAGCTCCCCCCAGACTAACTCTTTACGGCTTTAGGAAGCCTCTTTTTTTTGCCCCAAGGCGAGGGCTGGTGGTCTCCAACTGCGGACCCTGCAGTTATCGGCCCAATGCATAACCACTGTGCCACCAGGGCACCTCTATTTCAACAGGCAGTCCATATACAGACTGCTTCATGGAAGGCCATGCTTTTGGGGGGGATGGAGGGCGTCGGTCTAAGAGTGGCTCTTGCCACATATCCAGGGCCCCCGCAGCCCTCTGTACCTGTTCTACATTTAAGTGTTATGGCAGCAAA